AACCATCAGGAGTTATGCATAAATGTTTTTATTTTTCTCTACTTTCTAGCTCTGGAGCCTTGCCTGCTTCAAAAATGTCTGAAATTGTTGACTTTTTTTTCTGTGAGATAGAAGCTAAAAGGTTTTGTGAATCATTGCTTTCAATACAGCACATTTAGTTTTGTTGGTGAAGTTTTTCAGCTCCTTTTGCATTAATGTGTCTAAACTGCGCACATTATCCATTCTGTCTCTTTTTAAAATTTATTTATTTATTTATTTATTTATTTGTAATTTTAAAGCAGTGTCTCTTGTGGTTTTAGCATCATTTATTTATTTTATTTTAATTCCATGGATGCCAGACACTGAGCTATCCATCTCAGGCTGGGCAATATAACCTCAGCTTTAGAAACACTGACATCACACGTATCTCATAAATGTGCTTTTTTCTTTTACAAAAACATTCTTACTTTATTAAAAACCCGTCACAAGAGCACTGACCTCAAGCAGTACATCAGAAGAGTCATGGACTGCCATCACAAGGGTTCCAATACGAATATAGTTTGAAATCCAGGAGAAGCTCAGTAGAGTCAGTGTAGCTATGTGATGAATCACCTGCTCTTTAAAGTCCTATGAAAAGGCAGATGACAGGTTGATACATCAGTACTAACTGTGTAAAACATTGTTTTATAATTAACATTATTATGTAATTTCCAAGTTATGAACTCTTACAAAACTAATAATTTGTACATAAAAGAAATGTTGATTAGCAAATAGTAAACTATATTTTTCTGAAATAATAACAATGTTAAATTGATTTAAAAGTAAATAGTTTAGCTCTGTGTGCACTTACTTTACGTTTCACATCAAATGTGAGGCTGAGAAGCAAAGAAATGTAGAAGCCCATTTCTAAAAGGTAATACCAGTACTGTGATGGCAGCATAGACTGTGGGAATAAACAAAAATGTGTTCATGTATCATCCTGCGTGCACTATTATGCAATCTATCTTAATTACAAAGGTAGAACCACACACCTGCTTTGGAAATTCGGCCCAAATCTCCTTTAGATCATAAAGCCAAGGTTTCTAAAGCCAACAATGACAGAAGAGAAGAGAACAATAGGGAGATTTGCAACAATAACCGGATAAAACGATTGTTAAGGGGCGTGTGAGCTCATGTCTTCATGTGACAAACATCTAGGAACTCAGAAACTACTTACATCATGAAGGGCCCAGATTCCTCCAATAAAAGCAGACAGATAAAAAAAGCATCTCCAGCTGTTAAACCACAAAGACCGTAATGTTACATACTTACACAGATGCATGTGTTCTTACATTCTGTGCAGCAAAAGCCCCAACACAAATCCAAACCCACAGGGACACACACACCTGGCCTCACAGAATCTCTTCTGCAGCCCAGGTCGATCTTGATTCCTCCTCCTTCTGAACCAAACTTCAACTCTCCTCTGAGGCCAACTGGTCTTCTTACACAGAGAGCGAACATCAGCCTGACACACAGCAAACACACCAGCTGTTACACTCCCTCTGAATACATACAACTTAAAATACTGACGTTAAGTTTTTGTATTCATGGTACGGGCCACTTGATGGGAGATAATTCAGTTCTGTTTGTTTTTTATTTTTTGGTGGTTTGTGGTCCTTTTAGAATTTCCAACACTTGAAGTTGCTCAAATCTTTCAATCAACAAAGCAGGTTTTATTCATCACAACTTGTTTTTTATTAAAATTAAAAGGTAATTCTCAAAAAGCTGACTGAGATTACAAGATACGAACAGCAAACAACCTTTGTTCCATTTCCTTTCCACATACCTGTGATGGATTTCGTGCTTGGCTGCAGAAGAACTTTTCTAGGACGGGGTTTTGTTCTGCTGTGAGACGTACCTTGTCCTTGATCCCCCAAGCATTAGCCAGGGGCATGGCCAAGTACCTGAAACAGCACACGGAGCTTTACAACCACCTACCCAACTCAACAGTCAGCAATCTTTGGACTTTCCTAATATTACTTCAAGCTTGTGTAACCCAAGCCCCAGGCTCTGAAACCAGACGACTGCACACTCTAAACTCTCTCAGTGTGTATTCTTGCCTCTCGAACAGGTATCTGAGCAGAAGCAGGCAGAGGGCGCAGGGCAGAGCACCGTAAAGCTGGGAGGCTTTAGCATAGACACGGCCTTCTTTGTCCTCCAGATCCGACCAGGAGACGTTTGCAGGCAGCCACAAACTCTCCCACCACAGCCACTCGCCGACTGTCTGCAACATGGCACTGAAACGAAAAAGCATTTAGTTTGAAAACAATACAACTCAAACACACTTAACACTCAAACATTTCTTAAATGTAAAATTTTAAAGTCACTAATTACATCAGATAAATTGTATTTAATTAAAGTCTCCTATTGTGCCTAAATGGGTTTAATTTCTACCCTTTCCATTTCAGAAAATCAGTGTTTAGAATTTATGCAATTTTAAATACAAACTGTGTTTTGCTTTATCAACCTGCCATTGTAAATGAATTGATCTAGACAAGGAGAACTGCACCAGTTATCAAAGGGCAGGAAAGATAAAGAACTGTGAGGAACACAGAGGTGAAGATTAAAGAGAAGTAAAGCCCTTCCTCTAATGGACTCTGCCCATTAAAAGCATGCTGCTTGTGCACTGAGAAAATGAGCTTAAAATATAATATGGATTCAAAGCTATTTGGAAAAAAAATTAATAAATCAAAAAGGTGACATATGTTTGCTTAATGAAATTTATTAACTGGGAATCTAAGTCATAATGTCCCTAAACCTCAATGGGAAAGGCATATATACCTGCAGGCAGTGTTGTCTTAACAAGTTTCAACAGAAGAGAAAGAAGCTGAAGCAGACAGAGCAAAAGCTAACAGATTATCCTCCACTTCATCTGTTCTTTCATGACAAATCTTCAAATGAACTTATCACATTATTTAAAGTGAGCCGGTTAGAGAAAATGTCAGTGGTAAAACAATAATAAAGAAGCACAGGTACGAATCAGATTTAAACATTAACTTTCTCACCTTTAGCGCACTCGGCTCAGGTAATGCTGGGAGTTTTCCTGGGATCCGCCTGAGGACTGAAAGTTTGTTACTCACACAGCCCTCATACAGGACTTACTGACATCAGATAACAGATCAGTTGAATCCTCAACACTGTTAGATCAGCTCGCGCTTCTTGTTTTCAAAAGAGTGAAATAAAAGAGTGAAATAAAACAGATCTGCGCGACGAGTGAACAGGTGAAATTTAAGCCTTGCGTGTGGTCTCTCACCTGGTTAGAAAGACTCAGATCCCTCCCTCCCACCTTTTCTGCTTCTCCTGTGATCACACCCTTATAGCTGCTGCAAGTCTCTAAAGATTAGGAAATGAAAACAGCTTGCTGCTCTTGGACAAATTTGCATTTTTTTTTTTTTTTTTGCTAGTCGTAAAGCGCAAGGTTCAATCGGTTTGCGCACCCTCACCTGCAAGAACTCCCTCTGGAATGCCGGGAAATAAAAAGCCCCCACAAAGGCCCCATTCACTGGTGGGGCAGAGGAGGAGGAGGAGCCAGGAAAGAAAGAGGAACTCTCGCACAGAATGACAAAGAGCGAAATATCACTCTGCAGAGATAAGTGAGTTCACAACAAACACATCAGGGTAGATAAAGGGGCCGTGGGCTTGGCGTGCTATTTTCTATTAACCTGTTCTGTAAGGAAAACGGTACAGACCAGCGGCACAAATTTCGAGATGATGCAGGAAAGGGTTAAGAGTTTCAAGTTTATGAAAGACATGAAAGCAAAGCAACAGGTGACTAAGAATGAGTACTGAAAAACAGGACACGGAAAGCAGTTTCTTTGTTCAAGCGTGCACCAGAGGACAACTGAGACAACAAATCAGGTGTACAGTGTCAGCTTAAATGGGCCAAAAGCTCCACAGTGTTGTCATTTTGTACATGTCATGTCAACTTTTTTTCAGTTTACGGACCCTAAAGGACTGCTGATTACGTGATACATTTTGTAAATGCATATAAAAGTGGATTTGGGTCATTTCCTAAGAAGAGCATCCAAATTATGTGCCAAATCCAGCTTTTTCCAGTTGGCAATAAAAGCACTTTTGGAAAAAGGTACAAGACTAAAATCAAAATTTAAATAAGCCATGACTGTGAGAGCATAAAAACATATCAAAAACATGTGGTTCTTTTATTGGACCTTTGAATCTTTCATCTAAATATCAAACCTTCTGAAATAAAACTAGTTAAAAGCCTAACAATTGATTCTGGGCAGTGATGTGGATTTCATCACTTTGAACTGGTTAGCGTTGCTGCAAGTGTGAGAATATTAGATGTAACATAAAAAAGAAGAGAAAATAACAAGAAAAGCTGAGACTACTAAGACCTGGCTGAGGGCACAACAAATCAACACACACAAATAAACAAACAACCAAAACAAATAAAACATACTCCCAAAAAATAATAAAACCAAGTCAAAATGGGGTCTTCATGGCAAAAAGTTCTGAGCAACCAGTCTCTGAACTCGTCAGTCCTAAACCATAGTTAGTATAAATATTAGTATAAATATTGGTAAAATTGTAAAGAAAAAAAAGATGGAAAAAAAACACGGTCTCTCTTTATAGTAAATGCAGGTAAAGAGGACAGCAGAAAGGATGCAGCCCCAGGCACAAACATGAGAGGCTAATCCTCGCAGTCCTCTGTCTCTCTGTCTGCAGATCTCCTCATACTGGTCTGCTGTTGCGCTTCAGCTCACTGGGAGAAGGTGGGATGCGCTCTTCAAGCTTTGTGCAGCTGGTGGAATGGCTAGGCCTTGCGGTTAGCTCCTCGGTGCCGGGCGCTCTCTGTCGTGGAGGCAAGGTCGAGCACCGGGTTTTCCCCCTGGATCGTGGCAGCTGAGGCGGAGGGCCTTTCAGGGCAAAGAGTTCAGGTGAGGCTTGGGGCTGTCGGGCCGCTCGGCTCGGCTGCGGAGACGACGGTGAAGCGGGCGTGTGCAGGGAAGACGATGATTTGTTCGACGTGGGTTGAGAAGAGGCCAAAGGAACGAGGGGGAGAAGCGTGCCCTGCTGCTGAAGCTTAGTGAGGCTGGTGGAGAGGCAGGGCCGAGGCAGGCTGTAACAAGCCTCGGCCCCTCTGTAGCGAGAAGGAAGGGTGGAGCAGCGAGACTTGACTTTTGAGTCTGGCGCTCTGGGAGGAGGAGCAATTAGTGAGAACATCCTAGTTTCAACATTTGATGATGTAAAGTCTGTCCTGGAGCCTTTCAGGCTTTGGATTGAGCCTCTTGCTGATGAAGGATGTTTCTTCTCTCTCTGATGTTCTTGTGTGGAGTCTGAGCGGGGAAGCTCAATATCTATAGATGTGCTTGATGATGGCTCTTCTATAAGAAAAGAAAGAAATGAAAATAATCAGAAGACTCATTCATGCATGTTTGAGAAATCATTGAATCTCCTACATTAGTTATTTGGAGCTGCCTAAACGATTGCTGATATAAAGAACAGCCCATTTGGACAAAGCTCCTTCCTGGAGCTCAGTCTGGAACCAACCCTTGATTGGTAACAGGGTTCCCACAGTTTAAGGCAAGTTAAATTTAAGACATTTTAAGACTTTTTAATGCCAAGTGAAATCAAATTTAAGACCGATTTCACAATAAACACAAATGACAAAAAAATTAAAATGTGGCAGAAACTCATGAAAGTATTTTTGGTTGAATTATTCAAATATTACAAATAGACCATTGTTTTTATCCATATCTAACTGCTATTTTGTCAAATATAGCAAAAAAAAAACATTCTTAGCAGTCAGTTTTAAACTTAATTCAATTTCTAGAAATCCTCTAATGACCCAAAATTTGGAGTTTTACGACCCACAGTGGGTTCTCAACCCCAGCTTGCTTTAGATGAAACCTTAAAGTACACGTGACATCAAATTTTTGTAAGAAATATGAATGTATTTTTGGAAAGACAGCATTATTAACATTAGAAAACAAATTTCACTTTGCTCAGATGAACAGTTGTTGAGATACAGTATTTGCATGTGAAGTGGTGTCAAAAGGGAACATCTGAATGGGAATATTTAAAAAATAAACTAATGTTACCAATTATTTTAATATTTGATATGAATTACAGTCATCCTACTTACAATGTGTTAACATTTTTAAGACTTCTGAAGACTGATTTAAGACCTTTTAAGGCTAATTAAGGCCTTTTTTTGGGGGATTGATGAATTCAAGGCCTTTTAAGACTTTTTAAGGATCTGCGTGAACCCTGTGTAATCAAGAATCCCACCTCTAATAATTACGTTCTGATAAAAGTTTTCATCTTACCCAACAAGCCCAGTTTGAGCATGAAGTCGTCCAGATCTACGGTAAAATTCTCCTCAGCTGCATCATCTTTATTTTCCTCTCCCTGCGTTCCTCCTTCTTCCATCTCTCTCTCTTCTTCGTTGCTCCTTTCTTCACGTTCTTCCTTAACGTCTTCATTTCCTTCCTCCTCACCACCTTCATCACCTCCTTTGCCTTGTTGCTCCTCTTGGCTTTTATCTTCAGCTTCTTCTAATAACTTCCCAACCTCTGCGTTATTGTCACCAGACCTTCCTAGTTCATCCATATTGATCTCAACCTTCAGTTCTTCCTCTTCTTCCACTGCTTGGCACATGTCATCTTCTTCCAGTGCAGCATCCACTATGATGTCTATGTTGGCAGGAAAGCAGGGGACTGGGCGTTGTGGGGATTGAGCTTTGGCACATGCTTCTTTGTCATGATCAAGCAGGAACTCCATCAATGCCATGTTCTCCTTCTTCAGCTGGTCCCGCAGGGAACGTGGTACATCTGGGATCATCCAAGCAACCAACATGCTGAGGAACATGGCGAGGTTCTGTCAGGAAAAAAAGGCAAGGAGAGAAACTAAAGAAAAACACAACAATAACTTGTACTCAAACTCAGCAGATGTGTTGGACTGGTGCACATCAACTCTGAAGAAAACCTTACACATGGATGAGTGGTGCTGAACGCTACCAGTCACATATTTACTTCAAAATGGTCAGACAGGAGCCAAACCTTACTAAAAGACCCATATTGGGAGTTTGCCAAAAGGAAATTGAATTACTCTTCGACCTTGAGCAGCATGATCCTCTGACTTGATCTAATCTAACTGAACAAAGATTAAACTCTGGCTACAATTCAAAACACTGTTTCCAGGAAACCCAGATCTGAGCATCATCAACATCCCAGTCAAACACGGCAATTACAGCATCATCCATTGGGGGTAACTTTGACCAACAAGAACCGGTGAAGAGAATACCCTCCTAAGTAATGAGCATCTTTGGAAGGATTGAAGCCTCATGGTTCAATAAAGTAGCAACCTGAAGCATGCAGCCATGAAAACCCAGGAAAATCAGTGACTCTGTCAGACTTTGGCTTCGAACCCAGTAGAGCATCTTGGAAAAGACCTGATAATGATCTGTGCACTGACACTCTCCATCCAGCCTGGTTAAGCTCTTGTGTCTGTGCCAAGAAGACACAGAAGCTCCTAAAGAAACGTGTCAAACCTACAGGATCATTTTCCAGACTGGAAGCTCTCGTTGCCGAACGTACTCAACTCCTTTAGTTAATGATGCTGTTTTAATTGGGATATTTAAGTATTTTAAGTAGTACTTACTTACTCAATTAATCATGATTTATTAATACTTGATAAAGGCCCAGTATTTACTTTTGAAAAGGCTTGTTTTAGTTACAGTATGTTAAAGAATATTTATCAACTCATTCCATTATATAGTCAACCATTTATTTTTCTTTTATGAGAATGCATTTATTTTTTTTTTATAATAGTTTAGTTTTGTCTTAGAGATATTAGACATTTATTAATCATTTTAAAAAGATTTGGTAATCCTCCAACTAGGTTTATTAATAAACAAATATCATGTATTAAAAATATTTGGTATTTCAAAGAATTATATTTTATTACTTATTTATTATTCCCAAATAAGGATGATTTATTTTTTTTATTTATGAGAGTATTTATGCTTTAGTTAGTAATATGGCTTGTTTTAAATGCATTTACACAAAAATAAACATGTGACTTGCTGCTGCCACTGTAGTTTGTAGTTTCCAATAGTACATACCTTAATCAATTTAAGGATGAAAAAAGAATAATTCTCAAAGAATTTGTTCAGATTTTTTTTTCACAAAAACAGAAAAGTAACATTTTGATCTCATTTTCTAATAAATGACAAGATATTTATGAATTTGTGGAGAAAAATACATTAGAAGCAGGACACCGCTTTCTAAAATGACACAAAAATACCAATCTGTTGCAAATACAGTATATGTTTGATACCTGGAAGAAGATCACAAAGGCCAGTCTAGCAGCGAGCACAGACCAGTACTGTTTGGAGAAGGTGTAGGCATCTGGTGCCCAAGGCGGATCTCTGTAGTCCTTATACCTAAAACACACAGAGACTGAGAGGATAAACAGAGCAACCTAGATCAGCATGACTGACTGCAGAAACAATGTTCTGATGATACTAACAGTAATAGTAGTATCTCACTGGGCTGCAAATGATGGTGACTACAGCATTCATGAAAGAATCATGTTCAGAAATGTTCACAGGGATTCTTTATTTCTATCTTAAAATAGTCCCAGAGTTGTTGTGGGAGTCTAAATCCTGTCAATTTAGTTTCTGCAAATTCAACAAAGTTTTAGCAGTAAGCCACAATTTTCTAAAAAATTGGCCACTTGAAACATGACCCTAAGTTAGTCTAAAACACTCAGAATTTAGTGATACCAAAGTAGAAAAGTTGTCATTTTCCTCACAATTTTAATTCATCAAATACAGTCACATCCCAGGAAGATACTATCTTAAGATTCACCCTCAGTAAGGCGCTGCAATCCATGCCATTTTTTGCTGTAAAAGCAGAGTTAAGCTGATGGCTAAAAGAATTAAAGGAAGGTCGAGGTAAGTCAAGGGTAGGAGAATCACTCTGACCTGCACATGGTGACACCGGTGAGGAGTGTGGTGTTTGGTGCTGTGCCAACAGGAAAGTTGCTGACATTGAAGTAGGACAGCGAGTGCTCTGTATAGCCACTCATGGAGCCATTTACACTGTACATGTACTGGTAAATCATTCGGGGAACAAACTCCGAAGTGAAGGAGATGACGAACGCCTGAAACATAAACACAAGTTAAAACTTCAACACTTTTATGACGTCATCTGTCTGTTAAACTGTAAAGCCTTACAATGTTTCCCACACAACAAATTTAGGATTAGTAATTATAATGACTTTCTATGTAATCATTATTAAGCATTTCAAAGCTTTAATACCTTGTTGTGATTAAGCAAAATTATAAATAGATTTTTAAATGAAGTCACAACCTTTTTAATATTGATCCTACTTAACATGGGCAGACACTACCAGTCAAAAGTCTGGACACACCTTCTCACAACATTGAATGAGAACGTGTGTCCAAACTGGTTCTGTACACATACTACGCATTTCATGAAGGTCACTCATTTCCTGACAGTCACTTCTTTGTGACATAGAGACACAAAGAAATGTAGCACTGTCTAAAGATCGGTGACAAATCAGAGAAATTACCAGTAGGACACGTGGACTAAAACACGTTAACAAAACATTCCCAGCAGCATCGCAGATTCAGACATTTTTCTTTGAGCAGGAGTATAACAGTTTCTTTATTTTTTTATTATGCTATTATTACCAGCAAATTATTAACAAAAGTTACTAAAAATGGAATGACTTGATATGTTATAGGTATTCATATCCTAGAAAATGGGAATTGTGACTTCCTACTTGTCAGTGAATGCAGTTTTAAAGGAAGCCCTAACAAGGGCTGTTGGCCTTTAAAAAAATAACAAAATAATTATATAATAAATAACAATAGAGGGTTTTATATGTTTATGTTCCAGATGTGTAATAATTGTGGTTTGTGTATTACCTGCTCAATAACAGTGTTTGTATCTGTGCTGTTTTAGCAACCCAGTGAAATTAAACACATAAAAAACTGCACCTTTTCCATGAACAAACTACAAATGAGGTAAATGGGAGTGGAGTTTTTAAACTCACTGGTTGTAGACAGAAAAGCCCAAAGCAGACACACAAACACTTACATTGGTAATGACAGAGAACTTGCTGATTCCACACAGAATGTCGAACCAAATCCCTGAAGACGGCATGAACAAAGAGACAAGCGGGGAAAAGGAAAAGTGTCCACCCAGGTTTTGTGAATGTTTGTGTAAAGGAAAGAAAATGGAGATAGAATGGAAAATGACAGCGATTTAAGATTTGTCACACCTAATACAGAGACTAAAAGAGAAAACCTTTTACAGTCCTGTACCTATATCTTTACATCTGACAGCGTCGGGTCGCCGGATCTCGGTGACAAATTTGGCAGCGTCGAGGCGAATCTCAATGACGTTGTTGAGTAAAGCAAATGCAGGTGCCAGTGGGAGGGAAGCCACAAAAAGTGTCACAAATCCATACTGGATTACTGTAATAAGACATAAGCACATAAAATGAAAACTACATTATGCAGTTGCGGGATTGAATGAAAAATTTAATAAAAAGAAACTCACTCATTTCCATGTACTCCGGGCTAACCCCCTCAAATGGTTCAAGGGTGAAATCTTTGTCAAATTGTTGCTTTGGTCTTTTCTCCTCTTGCTCATTCTCCTCGTCCTCTGCTGCCCTCTTTTTCCCTTTTTCTTCCTGTATTGTTCTGTACATCTTTTTCAGTTTACTGAAAAAAACATATTAAAAAAACCCTAAATACTAACCCAAAAACATAAGGGCAAAGGTACATCATCCACAACCCATTTCTGTTTCTACAAAAGCTTGGATGCTCTGTAAGATAATATTAAAAACATAGTTTATTGAAATTATGCTGAACAAATAATAAAAATAATATATACATACGGTATGAGAATCTCAAACACGTTGTTTTGAATGAGCTGCTTTCCGAGCATGATCATGCTGAGCTGAATGCAAAGCTCAATGAGGCAGCCTGGAGGCGCGCACTGTGGATCACAAACATGTGTCAAGGTTGTGTAACTTTTTCATTTCAACATTAATATATTACAACATCTTAGTAACAAAGCTGGACATACCTCCTCCATACGATAGTCTCCAAAGATGTAAACATAATCACCGGGTCGCCCAGAAAACCTGCAGGAAGAGAGGGCCGAGTCACATTAGGGGAAATAAAAACTAACAGGAGTTTTTATGTTTGTTGAAGGACGAAAAGAGAAACACACCTGCCCTTGAAGAAGGCAACATAGAAACAAGGTGCGAAGGCATTCATAGATTTTAAGAAGAATGACTTAAAGATTAGCCTCTCTTCAAACTCCTCCTCTGTTTTTGGAAGTTCTGTTAAAAAAGTAAACAAAACCGATGCAAACATCATCATTGACACTAATTTGGTGTTTAATGAGTGTCTGTTGTTTATTTAATACTTTATAAACAAGATTCATGTGTAAAAAGTCACTTTAATCCATTATTAATAAGGTAAAATTATTATTGTGTGAATGCTTCACAGCATTCATTTTTTTCTTCCGTCCGTTTTTTTGGCATCTAAATCGTTCCACAATTTTTGTGCTATTTCAACAATTCAAAACATTCAGCTCAGTCATGTGAGGTGTGCTATGACTTTTGGTATTTCAGTTATTTATACTTCTTTAGCTATTTAACCTTTTTTAGCCACTTTTTTGCCATTGAAAATAAATGGAGCTGTTTTCAACATCTTTAAAATCCTTTAAACTGTTTCTAAATCTTTAAAGCACCTTACACATTTTGTTCTTATGCTCTGTTTCACTTTCTAGTGCTAATTTTAGCTACTTTTTTGCAAATTTTATCTTTTTTCAGCTATTTAAGTTAAAATTCTGCTTCTTTCCGCTATTCTTCTACTTTCTTCTACTTTTTTCTGCTACTTTTGTGCTATTTATGCACAAATGCTAATTTTAGCTAATGGTTTAGCTGCTGTTACCTGAAGTTAGCTTTTCTAAGATAAATACGCAATTTTTGTAGCTACTACAACTTTTTTTCAGCGAAGTTCAGCAAACTTGTACTTGTTATGCTTCCTTATGCTAACTAAATAATTTCCAGCTTTTTATAGCTGTTTTACTGAACCTTTTGGCTGTTTTAGCTATTTTCCTAAAAAATGTCACTTTTTTACAGCACTGTCAATATCTAGGTGCTAATTTCAACTTGTGGCTGCTATTTTTAGCTAAAAGTAGGCCTATGCTAATTTTAGCTTTGTTTGCTATTTTAGCTGTAGATCTGCTTCTTTCCACTATTCTTCTGCTTTTTAAACTTCTTGTGCTTTTTTCAGTTAATTTGAGCTACTTATGCTTCTTACAGATGTTTTCACCTATATTCAACTATTTTAGTGCTTAGCTTTTAGCTGTTTTTTGTTGTTTTCAACTAGATTTGTGCTCCTTTTTACTGTTTTTCTGCAAAGTTAGGCTTTTTTTGCTTCTTTCAGCTTTTCAAATTGAACTCACATTAACAATTTTGCTATTAAATATTTTCAGCACATTTTCAGCAGTTTACAGCTTAAGTTTTCAGCATGAAGCATTCACACTAGCATTTCCGCAGGAAATGCAATTTCTCTAGTTACTTTTGGTTTCTTTGCATGTCCTTTACTGGTTCACTTTACTTTTATTTTATTAACCCACTGTGTCAACATAATGTACGTCCCACAAGACAGGACAGGGTCGTCTACCTCACCCCAAAATAAACACATGGGGAATTTTTTGTATTTTGTTATTAATAATTGACATTGTAACAATATTTAATACATTACCAAGCTCAGTCAACCAGACAGCGATTGCTCCATAGACCTCCTCCAACACCAGAACGACCAGCATGTTAAGGACGATGCCTGTGGTGATGACCGTCATCCTGACTCGGGCCTTGGCTTCAGGATCTGGGTTCATGGACCACACACTTAACATGCAGATTCGGTAAACTACCACCCCGAACACTGCCGAGAAGGTCACAAACATCTGAAAACACACAAAACACATACACACAACAAAGGAAAGGCACAATACACAATTATGGAAGACTGGATGGTTTTAACATATAGTTTGTTATTTTCTGACTCTAATTTTTACAAACATTATTGTTTGTTTAATGGGATTTTATTGCAGTATACTTGATGACTGAAAAGCAATAGTAAAATTTGAAAGCTTGTGCTCATAAACTAACAATGATTGATAGAAGAGAAAATACTGTTCACTTCTGTTAAACACCTAATAGGTGGTAATAATTAACAATATTGACCCTTCAATGTCGCTGATCCTCCTGTTTATCAAAAGATTATCAAACAATGAAAAATGAATGAATAAGAAAATGAAGAGTCTGAATGAGGTACCAGCAGTAACAAGGTGGACACGTTGATGAGGTAACCTGGCAGATGATCCTCAACATCCAGCGACTCTGGTTCTTGCTGCCAAGACAAACAAGCGTATTATTTAATCGCACAAAAGAACAAACACAAAGGCGCACATATACGCCACACTGTGTTGCAGTTATTAGTTGTAGTGCAGAACACACACTCTGCACACAAACACGTGTGTTGTGGAAGGAGCATGTTTGCCATTTGAAAGGACAGAAAACTCCTCCCCTTTTCCCTATTCCTCCTTCCCTTTATGTCTCAATCAGTAATCTGGGCTAATCTCAAGCAGGTAAGCTGCTTTGGACTCAGCCACACACTGTGAAGGAAAGGGGGGGTTCACACAAATATAACCCCATGAATGCAGAATTAGTTCATGGTAATTTTTTTGTATCAACAACCTATAACAACCATACTATTTGCTTTCGTAAAAAAAATCACTTAAGTTGTGGATAATTCATTTAGACGTATATTTTTGTGGTTTCTCAGCAAGTCTATTCACTTAATGTCTGCTCAGTGATACCTGTGAGGCCAGCATCTGATCTGTCTCTCCATCTACGCCTCCTCCAGCTTGAGTCAGCTAAAACAGAGAGTTAAAACAGTATGAGAGATAATACCAGCTGGGTTACAAACGTTTTATTTAAAAGCACAAAAATGTAAAAAAAAAAAAAAAAAAAMMAAAAAAAAAAAAAACCTTTTTTTTGGCTTGTGCCTTCATTTTAGCTTTTTTCATTTGAAGAGCTTCTTCATATTCAGGCCTCAGTTCATCCTGCAGCACACACACAAACACACAGAATAAATGCCTGCATCATAAAGAAAAACAGTTTTTGCATTTATTTTAAACTTCACATTTTTGTGGTTTCAACTTAGATCACGAATCAAACTTTCCCAAATCCACTTCAGTTGTATAAATATATGTTTAAACTTTGATTACTTATTTGCTGAATGGGCTTTTGAGCTTTTCGAGAGTTTCAAAATAAGTAGTTTTTAGAAAAAAATTGAAAACATTTTATGTTTTAAAATGTGTGCATTAAACCAGTATAAAAACATTTCCTACCAGAACTCGCTCCTACAGCCAGCAGAGACGAAGACAGATGATAAAAAGAAGAAAAGAAAGAACAGTTGTGTTAGAAGTGACCGTTTGTATTGTGACATCCTATCCAATGACTTCCTATTCACCCTGTTCACATTTGTTACTACATTCACTTTTTAGCTATCCAATCAGAATCCAACTGGAGATGAATAACACTAAAACACAGGTGTCAATTTTCTCAGTGTGCAATAAAAACATTTTTACTCAAATCATCTTCAGATGTGTTCTGAATCCCTTGTATCTGATACGTTTGGCAGTCTGACCGGCATTCCATCCTGATCCTAGCCGTAGGATTATGACCTGAGGTGAACCCATGCAGGCAGCTAAGCAGACGACCCTGGGTTAAAAAAAAATGTCTGCTCAGCTGCCAGCTGATAATTAAGCCGACAAAATTTTGGGATGCATAATTTATCACAGTAGGAAAAAATTGTTTTATGTTTGGTTATGGTTTGGTATGTGATAATTATGTAAAATATTATCAAAAAGAATTCACCTTCTCTACTAAATTACAAAGTCACTTTATCGTATTCTTTCTGATGCCTAATCTAGGAAACTTAGAGCTTGAGTATGTGGGTTGCACATTAAAGATTTGCGCAGCCCACACTCAGCTCTACTGTTCATCCCAAAATGCATATTCCTTTCAAATGTGGCAACATTTAATAGGGAATTTAACAGAGTTTCCAACAGTGTAAGACATATTGCCAAGAAGCATTGTTACAACAAAGAAATGATCTACCAAGCCCCAATTTCCTTCCTTTCTGTGCTAAGTGTATTTTTTGTTGTGTGAAATGGGGCAGCATCTTCTGCAGACACACAGAGTTCTGCTGGGGCCATAGGATTGTTTGTTTATTCTTTACTTCTTGTTATTTCTTGATTCCTTTCATTATAAATTAAAACAACAAACAGCTGATTTCCTGAGTTGACCATTATTTCAGAAAATCCACCAGACTATCAAAGAGCTGACCACAGTCAAATCACCTGAAATAGATTCAAAACAGTTTCAAAGCAACAAATATAAACACATCGTTTGAGACCTTGTCCAATCCTACAGTCCCTTCCAGGGTTTATACATCAATGGTGAATCTCAAAAGTCAAAAACGACTGTTTACCAGGAAAAAAACTTGACATGGCCTGGGTTACATGGTCATGAGTTTATCACTACAACCATTAACTAAATCTCCTTTTAAAACAGAGGATGAAAAAGAACACAGTTTTATCTATTCTTATCTGGCACAATACCCATTATAGAATCACAAGTTTTCCTTGAGTGTATTTTAATACCTCCTCATCCTCCAAACTCGTCAGATCCCATGTATGCCTCAGACACATCTGTCGCCTCTTCCAATGCTCAAGAAACCACGCAGCTGCAAAACAACATGACAAGAAAACTGTTGGAGATCAATGTCTTAACATCGACTATAATTATATTCATGAAAGCATTGAAAAGCAGCACGCTCAGTTCATCTGCTATCTTTAACTAATTTCATTAAAACTAATTTGCTTATTTATTTTATTTATTTATTTTCTTTATGATCTCTCCAAATACTTATTGGTGCTGTTGTTATAGTCTTTTTATTCTTTTTTTCAGGTTTTAAATCCTCATTTTGTTTATTGTGCAACATCATTTAGCACTCCTGTTACTATTTGTAAATGCTCAACTAGCTCTGACAGGTATTCTTTCTCAATTTACTGAGTACATCTTGGCCAGACAACAGCTGCTTTACAAAACGGCAAAGTGGAAGTCTTTCTGCCTGTTGAAATGTACTTCACTTGTAGCATGATTATGAGGAAAATGCAAGGGTGTCAATTTACCCCACAGAGACATGAAAATAGCAAAGAGGACAGTAGCTCCATTGTCGAACAGGTATGTGGCCCGGGCCAGAGAACACACGCTGGTCAGCCGCCAGTAGTCACACACAGCATCGCACAGTGGACACATTGTGATGTTCAGGTTTTCATCACACGTCTCCCGACTTAAATATGCAGGTGATAACACACAGAAAATATTATTTCTTTCATGCTGATAAAACAATAATTTGAATGACTAAAATAAATACATTTATATATTAGGGGTGCAACAATACATGTACCCGTATCGAACAATTCAATACAGTGCTTTAGGTTCAATACACATTTGTATCAAACAATACAGATTTTTAAAATTTATTTTATCAACTTGTCTTCTGAAGATGCTCTGTGTTAAAGTATCAGTGGATCTGTGTTCGACTACTCCACCTAGGCTGCATTGTCGAGCACAGATCCACTGAGAAACTCGCTGTTTCAGCAACATTTAATTTAAAAAGCTGAACTTTTGACGTTAAACAAATGTTCATACTTGATTTAAATAAATTACAAGTTAAAAAGGGCATGGACAATTCTCTTCTCTTGTATCGAGAAAATATCGAACCATGAGACTAAAATATTGAATCGAACCGAATCGTGAATCTTCTGTATCGTTGCACCCCTATCAAACACATTTGCCCACCTTGGCACATTGGTATCTACAGTAAAGATGCCATACAGAAAGACAATGATGCCCAGCACTGAGGGAGGGATAAGGAGCTGAGTATAAACACCCAGCCAGGCAAAATACAACCCAATTTGCTCTCCAAAGTACTTCCTGCAAACAAGAAAACAGCATATAAACCATCTGCCTGAGCTTGCAGAACATTTGGACATTCTATGAACCAAAATATTGATTAAAGGTGTAAAAAAAATATATATAGTCTTTATTCAAACTGATTTTTTTTTTTGCCTTGAACGTTATCAAGGTGCTGTATTATAAGTTTCATACTGAAATATTTCTTTGGCTCACTGTTACTGCAGAGTCATTTGTTTCGTCATGAATATATTTGGTATTAGTGTCGTTTAGAGTGACAGCTCCGTACCTGATCAGATCAACAGGCTGATATTTGAACATGACTCCATAGTTGGCCCATTCTTCATGGAGGATCTGAAAGACACAAAAGCACATTGCAAACATCACACTAATTTGGATCAAAAATCAAACACACTGTGTTTTAATTGATTATTAGCTTAAAGCTAATTGTGTTGTGCTGAGTTTACTGTAAGATGAACCTTGTGCCTGATAGCCAGCCTGAAAGATTTAGTCTGGAAATGTTTCTTCCTTCAAATGCAGAGCAAGGCCTGAAAAGTTCAAGACTCACTGCTTAATGTATGTGGGGCCAGTTTTAGTGGTCTGAAGCTCAGTTTGGATGACAAAACACAAATCTTCATCAGTCAGCAACTTACAGTGATGAAAACCAAGTAATAATGATGATGATGATGGTAGCCCCAATTCAGTTTTGTTTCAACTAAAACTGTAAATTGTTAATAAGAATAAAAGTTGTCATCTCGATTGACTCTTGCAAATAGGACCTACTGGTTATTTAAGCAACTCTTTAAGAAGCATTTTTCAAAACCCAGTCAGATGTCAGTTTTCTCACCTGTCTGTCATTTAGCTGATCTTTTCGCCCTCTTCTTGTGAACGATCCCTAAACAGAGGAGGGACAAGCTCTTAGCACGAGACATGCCAGCTGACAAGTCACACAGTGTCAGATTTCTCTAGATTTGCATGAGAACATTTTAGTGAATGAATGAATGAATGAATGAATGAATGAATGAATGAATGAATGAATGAATGAATGAATGGTAGTGTTTACACTGGGCGAGACAGACAGAATGAACGGTCTACAAACAAACAAGGATTTGACAGAACAAGACCAGGAGCGACACTGTAGCTGCCTGAAATAAAGCAAAGCTCCGTATAAGTCTTTGTATTCAACGCCTGGCTAATTCTGAAAAATACATTTAAACAACTACATTGAACTAAATTGAATTGTGTGATATTGGATCCTTAGATGAAGTTGTTGTACTGTATAGTTGGATTGATTTTAGACTTCATCAAAATTAACTGAATTGAGATGCAGATTTGAACCGTTTACTGTTTTGTAAACACAAAAGATTGAATTTATCAGAGAAGCTCTTGCTTCTGTTTTACTCACATCATGGAGAGGGAAGGCCGAATCATAAACTCCCCGAGCCAGTAACGAGTTAATGCCTCGTGACACAAAAAGGAATGAAATCACAAAACTATTTTTTACATAAACGACAACAGAATGATGAGTATTTGTAAAATACAAACATAAAAAAGATTAAAAAACAAATTAAAAAATAGATAAAAAAGTTAAACCTCACCAGTGGTTTGGCAGGTGCGAGTGCAGGTAGTGCGGGAAATAATCTCAGCAACCTACAAATGCACATAGCATTGTAAATCAAAGGATGTGTGACCTCAGTAACATAAAATTAATTCAACCAAAATATTATTCACAGGAAATATTTAGAAGATTTTTAGACTCACTATTCTGCTTCGTGTTGCATTGTCAAACAAAGCTGCTGTGGATTTGATATCATATCTGCAGGAAATTACAAAAAGCACACACATCAATCCAAAAATTAGTACTAGATGTATTTCACAGCGTTATATTTTGAATTAAATTTTGCATTTGAATAATGTAAACAATTTATGTGAAACAGTTTAACTTGTGCCTGATTCAGATATTATCCACATACGATTGAACTAAACACTATGTGGCTCCCAAACATCTTGTAGGTTTTCTTCTGTAAAACTTTTCCCTGCATGCGCAAGAGGCAGCTCATTTACTCACAGGTGGAGCTTGTCTCTGATGAAAGGATGTTTGAGTGTTTTGAAACGGATGCGTGACTGAGAGTCTCTGTGGATGTCGATGTCTGGGACATCAGGCTGAAACGGTTTGTTCAGTTTGGCAACAACAGAATCCCACACTCCAGCGATACCGGTTCGCCTCCGCAATTCACATTTCTGTCCAGTGGAAACATTCATCAAAGAATTATTTGACTGAAGCTACATTCTGTACACACTGAGTAGCCGTAACATTATGACCACTTGCCTAAGTACTTCCGCTTTTAATGCCAACATAGCTGTGATTGGTTGGTCCATGTCAGTGGTCAAAATGTTATGGCTGATCTTTGTGTGTTTCATGTTAAAAAAAACCTCTGCAACACAATATGTGCAACCATAAAGAATCAAAGTACTTGCCTTTTTCACAGCAACTTTGATCTTCTGTAGCTCTGCTTCCCGACTGAGTATTGACCACGGAATGTGAAGCCGAATGAAACATAAGCCGCTTGGCTTCTGCACATTAAATATAAAAAAATCAGAATTTTTAGATTTATCATAGTTTAAAACTATTAAAATTGTTTCCTCTTAGACTGACTAATGATAATGTTTAAAACACTGCAGTCTCAGTCTCATATTTCTTTTGTTCAAATTTTTATTGTTTTACTGGAATTGCTTTGAACAACTTCCAGCTGATTCAACACAGAGTGACCAGACTTTCTGTCAAGGCTTTGTTTTAATGGGCTTACACGAAGCTACAAATCTGGTTTCTGCTAACGTGTTTTATGTGGACGAGTTTGCCTGTTTGGTTGAATTTTGATTGTACTGCTCATCGCACAGTTTTCTGCCTTCACACAGTTTCTGAAAAGTTGTTTACCCAAATCATGTTTAGATATTGTTCAGCTATACTTTATACTTTGTTTAAATTTAAGCCAGTGCCTTAATGGGCACATTCTTTTAACCATACAATATAGAAAAGTTTCAAGTAGAACAGAAATCTATTGCTTTGCCAGCAAACTCACTTCTGAATAGTGAATCGTTTTCCTGGAAGGTCTTGTAATCCAGCTTTTGGCTCAAGTTACTTACAGTCAGCGTTTTTAATCCGCACACACGAGCAAATGCAGGCAGAGACCAAAATGTAAACATGGCCCAGCCATGCACAGACACTGACATAAACAAAAACACACGTTGTAAAGTTGTTTTTCTTTTGGCTGCTTCCCTCTGCAGGGGTCACCACAGTGAGTGAACTTGCATATAAGATAATTGTTTTACACCAGGTACCCTTCCTGAAGCAAACTGGGCTCAACTGTGCAGCCCGAGGATTAGCAAACCACAAAATCTGACCTCTAAAATAATTGACAAGTGTTTATTTAACACTGCTAACTCAGCCCTCGTAAAGTAAAATAAAATCAAGCAACAGAGAAGTAATACAGATGCACACCTCTTTATCTCGCTCAATCTGCAATCCGGCCTCTAGAAGTCCTGCTTCAAACTCCTCCCTCATCAAAACCTTTTCCTCCTCAGACAGCTTTGACTCCTCTGCATCTCCTGCTGCAGCACCCGCCGTACCAGACTCTGCTTCAGTTTCCGGCCGAAGTGGTATTACTAGTGGAACAGCCCCGTTGGATGAAATGGAAAGACGCCCTCTAGACGAACGCCTTTTTTTGTATTTGTAGCAAAGCACATAATCTACTTTCCTCTTGCCATCAGCAAAAAACAGGCCAGGTCCTAGGTCGATCCCAGACTCCTAACAAAAACAGGCACAGGCAAACATTTGGACATGAAGTGAAATTCAGTGTAGATTTATCAGAATCATGTTGCACTAACGTATGTCAGTATGTTTTAGGATGGGGGTGAATATTTGTGACCTTACCGGTGGCGGGGGCTCGTTATCCTCAGGGGTGTTGGTAAGGCCTCCGTTGGCAGGATCGAGTGTGAACCCAGACAGGGATCGTGCTAATGAAACTAGCTTCGCTGAGTGAAGAGTCGATGACTCACTCATTGCTGTGATGAAGGCTGTTCGTCCTTTTTCGTTTCATCCCTCTGTTTAAAAAAATAAATAAATTTAGAACAGGTATTTTCAATTTGGGGGATGAGTGTGAGATTTCTGTTTTTTTTTTTGTTTTTGTTTTTTTTTGACTGAGCCGGCTGTGTAAAGCCTTACAAATGCTTTTTAACATAAATGGAAACATCTGATGTTTCTAAAACAAAATTTCACTAAAATAAGAGATGGTAAGAAGTGGCTACAGCATGTTTATACTTCATAATGTTTATGGCCTCAGACTGGCTGTAAATATAATCTACCCACTTAACACACCAGGAAAATCCCTCAAACATGTAAACACGTCGCAAGTCAACCAGGCTGCATGCAGACAACATACAAATTGCTTTAACAGACAACCCTTTTACACGTGCACTGACATCCCTGATAATCCCAGTTCTAAGAATTAACATCACAGAGTCAAGATGCAGTGTTGTCAGATCACAGTGATTTTATTTTATCAAAGTTTTTATAGTTGTGCTCTACTTTTGATATGTCCAATGAATAAAATAAAATATTTTATCAGCATAACAAAATGATGCATAATGATGCAAAACATTCTATCAAAAATAAATTATGGTGTTTGTTTCAATCCTCAGTCCTAGGCATTTTCAACAGTTATCACTTGTGATTGCTACAGTGTGCACTATTACAGCTAAAACCAAAAATAAGTTGTCTTAGATAGCATTATTTAGCCTTTCTGCACTAATGTCAAAAACTTTAGAGTTATTTTTACCAATTTAAAAACACAAGTTTATTTAATTTGCTTATTGCCATATTTAGGGAGCATATTGTTTTACAATGACACTTTACTCCAAAATCGAGCTACAGATTATTTTCATGGACACGCTCCCTTAAAACATCTTAAACAAAACAAAAAAGCCTCCAGCTGATCAAAAATGCTGCGGTTCCTGTCCTAGAGTGTCCAAGTCAAATTGGAGGCAGATGTTAGAGATGTCAGGCTTCTTTCTTTTTGGTACCATCTTTATATTTAAGACTTTTATTTTACTTTATAAAATAAAGGTGATCCTGAATGATCTCTATGAATACCCTGCACTGGGCTGCTGTGGCATGACCCATGATGCACTGAGCAGCTCTCATCAACTTGGCATTTTAAATTCTAGTCAGCTCCAAAAGAACTGAATCGACTGATCAAAAATAAGTGAAGTGGGAAACTGTTTTTCATCTGAGGATTGCCAGGGGGCTCTGTAGGTGAAGCATTTTGTCATTAATCAACAAAATATTAGAAAAGCCTAAAGGTATTTCAGGCAGTTCAAGAGCACTGTGGGCATTTTGGGAGGTTAAAGGTTTTTTTTTAATTAAGAAAAAACTATTACATTACTTTACTGCTGTCTTTTAAAATATTTTATGTACATTACAGGTGTTGCCTGCAGAATAAACAAAAGCTTTGACCGATTTTTAATATTAGGCCACTTTAAAAGCTTTATTTTACTTTAGACAGCTCTGATTTTAACTTGTGCAAATTTCAATGTACCGACTTTGTTTACCTTATATATTTAATATAACACGAAAATAGACAAGGTAATTCCTATTTACAAAAATGGTGAGAAATGTGTATTCAGTAATTACAGACCAATATCCTTATTACCACAGTTTTCAAAAAAATCTGGGAGAAGTTATTTGTGATCAGATTGGATAAATTTATTGATAAAAATACAATAATATAAGTAGTAGCCAGTTTGGATTTAGAACTAATAACTTTACATCAATGGCTCGAATGGAACTAATAGAACAAATAACAAATGCTATTGATCAAAAACAATATTGCGCTAGTATTTATGTTGAATTAAAGGGTCAATATTACCGGTATGTGTTTCTCAGGCATACATTTAAATACTATACCATAATAAAGTATCTATGTCACCTTTAGTTGTTATTAAAATGCTGTTTTTATGTTTAAATAGACAATAAACTTATCTTCTCATCACTTCCTCGTCTAAACGCCTTGACATTGGCCTCTGTCTCTTTAAGAACCTTCTTCTGCTTCTGTCCCGACCGTTCAGTGCGGGGGGTGTGTGGGGGGGGGGGGGGGGGGGTTTGCACGTGCGCTATGATGCAGTTTACTTGGCATCTGGAAATACATTTCCTCAAAGGTATTTTAATCTGAAAAGAGCTTCACTGAGTAAGAAATAGTGTTGAGAGCAGCCGACAGTTAAGTTTCACTTTCAATTTGCCCTGTTACTGCCGAGAGCCTGCAGGAGTCATGGGAGTGCAGTGTGTGCAGTGTGTGTGTGTGTGTGTGGGTGTGTGTGTGTGGGGGGGGGGGGGGTGTGCTCCATGATGAGGAAGTTCGGCTTAAAGACATGTCCCAGGGGCGTTTCTGGTCCCCAAAGGCGTTTCTGGTCCCCACCTGTCGTTTTGCTCCTCAGCCTGGCTGCCTAAAAACGCTGCAGGATTTCTCAAACATGCATGAATGAGTCAGAGCAAGGCTTTGGACATGTTTTTTTTATGAGAATACAACATTATAACATGATATAAAACTCAAAAAAGTTGATTTTACATGATATTGCCCCTTTACAGAAAGCATTCAACATGATTGACCACAGCATTCTCCTTGAAAAACTAAATAAATATGGGATTAGAGGACCAGCATTACAATGGATATGTAATTATTTGGAAAATAGGAAACAGTTTGTAAAAGTACATGATGTCAGATCTGAACTATGTGGAATCACATGTGGAGTTCCTCAGGGTTCTATACTTGGACCAAAGTTCTTGTATGTGAATGACTTGGTTAATGTGTCAGGGCTTTTTAAATGGGTTTTATTTGCAGATGATACTACTATACTACTATACTATACAACTTTTATACTACTACTTATACTACTATTTTTTTTTTTGTTTGGGTGAAGACATAGAATGGATGTTAGAGAAAACGCAAACAGAATTTGTGAAAATACAAAATTGGTTTAAACTTAACAAATTATCACTAAATTTGGACAAAACTAATTATCTGATATTTACAAAGAGACAAATTGTTAATATTCCCTTTAGAGTTGATGGTGTAGAGATTAGTAGAGTCAGTGAGGTAAAGTTCTTGGGTGTTATTATTGATGAGAAACTGACATGGAATCCTCAAATAAATTATTTAAGAATAAAAATAGCTAAATCTATTGCACTGCTTTACAAAGTTAAGGACTTGTTTAATGATAAAGCTTTGTATATATGTTATATAACACATTAATTGTTCCACACTTGGTTTATTGCATTGAGGTATGGGGAAGGGCAATGGGCATGTAAGACAATTACAAATCCTGTTTTTGTTTTGCAGAAAAGAGCTATAAGAGTTATCACTTGAAAACATTACTGTTATCCATCTATTATTCTGCAAACTGAAATTATTGAAATTGTACGATTTGGTTGTCCATAACATTTTGTTAGTCATGTATAAGGCTCACAAAAATACATTACCTTTAAACATCCAGAAAAACTTTGCAAAGAGAGAGAGAGCTGTTAACAGAGGGGACAGCGATGTTCATGAAACCTAAATTTAGAAAATGATGGTAAAAGTGCCAAATCAATGAACATGTTTAAGAAAATGATGAAGATTGGATTGTTGAAAAAATGTGAACTAGTTTAATATGTATCCATAAAAATTGTTCTAGGAAGATTTGATGTTTTTGTTTTGTTTTGTTAACTGAAGATTATTATTTTTTTGAATTTATACTTGGTGGTGGGGAAAGGGCAGACAGTATAAGATTTTTTTTCTCTCTGCGGCCTTTCATTTCATTGTATTTGTGTTTTCTTTTCTTTTATTGTACATAGAATTTTCTTTTTAAGAAATGAATAAAGTTAGAAAAAAATAGAAAAAAAATCTAAATTCGCAGCTAATTTAATCATGGGCAGATATTTAGGTTGTTGTTTTTTTCTCTCTAAACAAAATAGATTCTAAACGAGACTATTCACAAAATTCTGTGCCAGTTGTAAATTCCAGGACTCAAACAATCGAAGTTTGAATCTTACAAGTATTTTATAAATGCTATGCTGTTTTTACTAAAGGAATAAAAAGGGAGAAGTCTGCAGGAGAGGGAATCAATCACTGAGTTATGATACCTTTCCTCCTTGCTCTGGAGAATGCTTACATGAAAATCAGTACACATAAAAAATTTACACCCAGAACATCTTTGGATGTTGTTGGAGAGAAGAGGCTGAAAATGAACAATATTCTAAGACCTTATTTTGATTATCTTTTTGTTGCCTTCATGTCTTTTACTGCTGCCTAAGTTTTTTTGTTTTCTGTACAGCATTTTTGTTACTGGCAAGTGTTTTCAACATGCTTAAGCTTGTTCTGTCGCCTAATTTTTCAAAGTAGTGATGTGTTTTTTTATATGAAGGTGAGTGTGAAACGACAGGTTTGATATTACAACTGTTTTTTTTACTATTTAAAGTTCCAAATTACATTCAGCACTATAAATGACCTCTCTCCCTTTTAGCTTTGAAGCAGGCAGAAGATGAGCTCTGTGTTTGTGTGGAGCTTAAAGGCTTGAAAGCTTTCTGTCAGCTCATCGATAGATGGGCAGCTGAACTAATGCTCCTAAAATACAGCACATTACACATCCCTTTGACATCTTATTGCTCCATTATACTAACATGAAAACTATATAATATTCATACTTTGCAAAAAAAAAAAAAAAACATTCGGATTAGTACTTTTGACAAAGAAGTTATGCCAAAAGAGAAAGACGACTAGCTGGCATCATCATAATTAATTTCCACTATGTTAGTAATTAATCCCAAGGTTGTTCTTAAGCTGCTTAATCAACAACTTTAATTAAATGTTCCTAGGCTCAACAGTTGAGTTTACACCTGCTTAAAGCCACCGGGAATTCACATGAAAAACTCGTTTGTTGTTTTGTTTAGATGCTAAGCTAGCGTAACACCTGCGCGGCTAATAAAAGTAATTTAAAAAGTAAAAAAATAAAAAATAAAAAGGCCCCCTTTTGCGTAGAGTGAAAGTGACGGTCAAGGTTTAACTGCGCCTAAATATCAACATGAAGTTAAAAAGTGAACTCACCAATGTCCGCGGAGTAACTGTGCTTCGTTATGGAGACATATATAAAAACGACGATGAGATATTTCACAGGGGGGCTGAGATGATGGTGGACAATCCGCGCGCGCAAGAAGAAGAAGAAGCGTTGGGCTTATTGCGCGCGAGCAGCGGGACAGGAGGACGGCTAATTCCCTGACTGATCCACACGGAAGGAAAGGAAGGTGTGGGGGACAAATTACCCGAGCTGTGCGCGCGTGTCTCTAAACCAGAGGATCCCAAAGTGGGGCCCGCGGGCCAAATTTGGCCCACCAAGCCATTTGATTTGGCCCACCAACAGCTGCCAAAGTTACAAGGTTGTAACCTGTTATCCTATAGAAACACAGTATTTCCATTGGTCAAATGACTTCATAAAAGGGCTGTAGTGAGGGTAGTTTTCGTTCATGGTAATGACATATCTTTGATTTATTAGGATCAAACATGAAACATGAAATGACAACAAGAAATGTTTAGATCAGATTTAACCCCGCATATAGATTTGCACACTTTATAAGGCCACAAAAACTCATATTTTATCAATTTACGATATCTCCCACGAGCCTTTGCTACTTGAGCGTATGGCAGACTTTCTCCAAGTGCACAGACTAAAACAAAAGAGGGCCATTGCACAGCTTAATCGTTAAAAATAAAGGACTTTACTTTTTAAAAAAGTATTTGTATTTCCTGTATTATATAACTGCATTTGCTCTCAGCCATGGATAGATTTTCATTTTGGCCCCCTCGGGGAAAATGTTTGGGCACCCCTGCTCTAAACTAACAGGGAGTGAGAGCTTACAGCTTCATCTCTTCTATATCTGCAGTTTCCTCCACAGAAGAGCAGAGCAAAAAATAACCACTTTACTGTGAACTTTGGTTCATATTTATTGTGTTTATTTTGAACACCCAGCAGCAGCCCAAAAATGCACTTATTTTAAATAAAAGAGAAATACAATAACAAACATAATGTTATCCTGATCTATAAAAGGTGCACTACACAATTTCCAAAAAAATTAAAAAGTAAGGACATAATGACAACATAGATAGTCTAAGCTCGTATTTATAAAACTTTACATTTTATGACTGGTTTTTAAATCTTCCCTAATAATTTTAGTTCAAATATTTTGATTGGTATAGTTCAATTTTGCTTAGTTTCTAGAGATCATCTCAGGACCTTCAAATGACCTGTCTCTGGAACAAGTGGCAGATGATGGATGGACTCATGCTCAACAAATATCAATCAAACCATAACTCTCACAAACATGTATTTCAAAATGAGCCATTGCTCATTTTAATTTATTAGGGGGGGAAAGTGAAGCTTACGGAAACTGTTACGTGTGTGTTATTGGTTTACTGTATTTATATATTATTTCTTTTTATGGGTACATTTTGCTTGAATAAACAGAAAGCTTCACTCTTTAGAAGCTCTCGTTTTGTTCAGGTGCAGTGTTTGGACAAACAGTCACACGCAGTCACAGACAGGACAGTGTGGTGGCTGCGAGTGCCATTGCCACACAGGACGGGCACGCTGAGAGGCTCCGTCCCCACCGCCGAACAACACACACACTCCTGCTCCACAGCGGCTCTCTGCAGGGAGTACATGGATTTACTGCGACACTTGCCCTGAAACAGACAGATGGAGGGATTCAGAAGAGTCACGGGTGGCGTTGTGAGTTGACATGTTGCAATTTCACTTACATTTAGAGCTCAAATTCTGTTTAAAAATAAGTTTGTGTTTATGTTGCTTCTTACCTCACAGTAGTTCAGCTCAATCCGTTGATCTGACTGGCAGTCGTCCACTTTGATGTAGTCAAGCGTTCCCACTGTCCTCCGGCACTCGGGTTCGGTACCTTCACATGCATACACATCTCTAATAAAAATCTCAGCATCGACATTTTTTTTTCTTTGCATACATCTTTTTCACTTACACGTCTCACAGCAGGTTTTTCCAATCTGGCTGACTTTCCCCTGTAAACAAACATCACAGGAATAATGATTAACTAAGCTGAAAACAGAATCTTAAGTGTGCAAACGTCGTGGGAGTCCTGGAAACTGTAGCTTACCCCCTGATCCAGGCAGGCTTGACGGTTAAAAGGAGGGCAGGTGGTCACTCGGGTCTCCAGGGCCAGCTCTCCTCTGCTGTTCACACCACAAGCATATGAGTTGCAGCCGTCTTCGCTGGTCGTGTTGACCTGATGTTGGAAACACAGGTGCTTATTTTTCTGCTTTGAGTCACTTATTCTCCTCAGTCCTGCCGACTGTGACGATCATCTTTAGGAATGTAAAATCTATGTAAGAAATGAGGAATGGTACATGGATACTGGCAAGGCATCTTTGACACCTTTTCAGGACTATTTGGACGAACTGTTCATCCATCACCATTCATCTGTCTCTTTGGGGTGGCTCCAGCAGAGGCTTCCTTCAATGAACATCAGAGGACGGTGTTAGCTTTCTGCTCTCTACTGGCTAGAAGACTTATTTTTCTTCGATTGCTACAGTGTAGTTTGCCATCATCRGTGTGTGAATGTGAGTGTGAATGGGTGAATGTCTGTTAGTGTAAAGCGCTTTGGGGTCCGGAGGGACTTGAAAAGCGCTCTATAAGTTCAGTACCATTTACCATTTACCATTCGATGGAAGGATCCACATCCTCCAGTATATGGTCATTGGTTAAGAGAAGTTATGTCTTACATTCATTTAGAGAAGATTAGATATACTGTTAGGGGATCTGTAAACAAATTCTTTGACATCTGGCAGCCATTTATATCCTACGTGGAAAAAATTTCCGCAGATAACTTTGTGTAAAAGTCAAATATTGGTTCTTTGTACACAAACCTGTGTCTTGTATTGTCTGTTATATGAATACAAGATGTATTTATGTTTTGTTAGTAGATCCAGTATAAGTGGGGAGGGATGGGAGGGTTCTCAGGGGTGTGTGTTTTTGTTAGTTTGTTTTCTGTTTGTGGTTTGTTAAAAATAATAAAAAAAAACTTTGACAAAAAAAAAAGAAATGAGGAATGGGAAGACTGTGGAGAGCACACACTGGTGTATAAAACTGTGCAACATCGCAGCTCTTTGGAAGTTGACTTAAAATTTATTGTATGATCATTATCACCAGAAATGTTTTAAAGCTAAGTCGGCAGAGCTCCGAGAATCACGTCCTGTTGTCTTTTCCTTGCTTCCCCACTGGAAATTCAGCAATACGCACGAACCAGACGAAACCATGTCTCGTTTTTACATCCTAATTTGTAGCACTGACACTGTTGCCATAACAACACCTGTAATAATGTGATTTCAACATCATTACAGTTTTGATGAGCAAGGCATGATCTGCTCTGTACAGTACCCACTTGCACACTGATGAGTTTTCCATCTGGGTTTTGTGTAAAACAGGCGAAGGCAACACAGCGGCCACAGCAACTCCCTTCCTCCTTTTGCAACGCGTATCCCTGAAAAACATCAGTTTGGATCATTAGCTCACATATAGGGAGACTTCAAAAGAAAAACAGGGCAAGTTTCCCTGAAACATTTTATTTGTGAACAAAGCAAACAATGGAAAGATAGTCTTGGTTTAAAGTTGAGCAGAGAGGTATTGCAGTCTAAGTATTAGAGCATCTTTGATTAAAAAAAAAGGTATTGAATTTATCAATAAGTTATGGGGGGAGAAGTAAAACGCTAATGGTCAAGATGGAAAATATTGATGTATTGACGAACCCTGGGGCAAGGTGGACAGCTGGTTTGTTTGCAGGATAGTTTATATTTTGTCACTGGACCAATCTGCACTGCACACTCACACTGCGTGCATACATCCACCATCATTTTCTGCCCCGCCTGCACAAACACACACACAAACAGGATTTAAAGACAAGACGCAGGCTGTACAAAATACATTTAGGTCTTGTAAGAAATTAGTTTCTACTTCTCTGAAGGACTTACTCCTATCACAGTTTGATTGAGAATGCAGCCGTTCATAGGAACTGAACAGGGAAGAACAGAAATGTTTGTTACTGTCAGTTTTTAAACGCAAGCTTTTTAAAAAAAAAGGGGGGGGGGGAATCACATAGTCAACTCCTAATAATAAGGAAGAGGATTAGAGCTGCAGAGCAAATAAATAAATAAATAAATAAATAAATAAATAAATAAATAACAATTCCTGAATTCTGACTTTTTTAAAATTGGGAATTGAGTTTTTTTTTCTCCAGAATTCTGACTTCAGTTTCAGTATTCTGACATTTTTTCCTCAGAATTCTTACTTTTCTCAGAATTAGAAGGAAGTCATAATTCTGACTTTATATATAC